CACTAAACATTTTCCCACACTCTGGGCACTTGTAGGGTCGCTCGCCCGTGTGGACTCTTTGATGTGTAATAAGCTGGGAGCTCTGAATGAAGCTTTTCCCGCAGTCGAGGCATTTATGGGGTTTGATTCCTGTGTGGATTCGCTGATGGTTAATAAAGGCTGAGCCGTCGCGAAACATTTTCCCACACTCCGGGCACATATAAGGTCTCTCTCCTGTGTGGACTCTTTGGTGTCTAATCAGATGTGAGCTCTGAATGAAGCTTTTCCCGCACTCCAGGCATTTATAGGGCTTTTCTCCCGTGTGGAGCCTCTGATGCCTAACGAGGTGCTCTCGCTGATTAAAGCGTCTCCCACACTCAAGACATTTAAAAGGCCTGTCTCCAGTGTGGAGTCTCTGATGCACAATAAGAGCTGAACTTTCACTAAACTTTTTCCCGCACTCCAGGCATATAAAGGGTTTCTCTCCTGTGTGGGTTCTCTGATGTCTAACCAGGGTTGAGCTCCGATTGAAGCTTTTCCCACAGTCGAGGCATTTATGGGGTTTAACTCCCGTGTGGATTCTCCGATGGTTAATAAGAACTGAGCCGTCACCGAACATTTTCCCACACTCCGGGCACTTGTAGGGTCGCTCGCCCGTGTGGACTCTTTGATGTGTAATAAGCTGGGAGCTCTGAATGAAGCTTTTCCCGCAGTCGAGGCATTTATGGGGTTTGATTCCTGTGTGGATTCGCTGATGGTTAATAAAGGCTGAGCCGTCGCGAAACATTTTCCCACACTCCGGGCACATATAAGGTCTCTCTCCCGTGTGGACTCTTTGGTGTCTAATCAGATGTGAGCTCTGAATGAAGCTTTTCCCGCACTCCAGGCATTTATAGGGCTTTTCTCCCGTGTGGAGCCTCTGATGCCTAACGAGGTGCTCTCGCTGATTAAAGCGTCTCCCACACTCAAGACATTTAAAAGGCCTGTCTCCGGTGTGGAGTCTCTGATGTGAAATAAGGTTTGAGCTCCGGTTGAAGCTTTTCCCACACTCGGAGCATGTGTTGTCTCTCACTCCTGATGGGATTCTCTGCTGGGCTGTGGTTTCCTTGGGGTCCTTGCAAACTCCCCCATGATCAGTGGATTTACCCACTTTCTGCCCTGGATGGGTTCCCAGCTGCCTCTCTGGCTTGTGCCCATTTCCCCAGGCTTTTCGCCGCTCATGGGTAAAATCCTCTTCAGATCTTTCCAATAACATCCCATGTGGTTCCACTTGCTCAGGACCTTCCTGCTGCGGCTTCTCCTCCGTGTTTTCACTCACCATCCCATCACCTGCTGGGACGGACAGAAAGAGAGAGGATCCAGACAGGAGTCATTCCCAGTGCCAGAGAGAAACGACAGGAGAACAGCAAAGAGGGTTAACAACACAATAACTAGAGGAAACACTGATAAATTCAATGCTGCCTCCACATCCCAGCCAAGCAGCAAGGGGGAAGTAAAGTCAGGGAGGGAACTCCTGCCAGCTGGCAGCCAGGGTGGGTATGAAGCTGTGAGTGACACCCGCCAGGAGGACGTGATCCCTGCTGGCTACAGCCCTGACCTGGGTGAGATGAGGCAGAACTGGGGGCTCTCACTCACAGCACATTTGTGGGAGTCCCAGCTTTTTTCCTTCACTCCCCGGCTGCTTTGTGCTCGTTTCATCAATTCCTCACCTGTGCGGGCGCCTCTCGGGCTCTCCCTTTCCTCGCAGGCCTGGAGATCCGGGACCCACGGCTCTTCCCCTCGCTCCAGCCGGGTGATCAGCTCAGGTTTGGGAAGGGGGAATCCTGCTATGGGGTGGGGGGAGGGGAAATCAGGCGAGATGAGGGTGTGTCAGGCATTGGGAGAGTATTTGTCACAAAGAGCAATCTCTGATTTTAACCTGGCCCCGCGCTGGGCTGGGATCTGAACAACTG